AGTAGAGACGGGGTTTCACCATGTTGACCAGGATGGTCTCGATCTCTTGACCTCGTGATCCACCCGCCTCGGCCTCCCAAAGTGCTGGGATTACAGGCTTGAGCCACTGCGCCCGGCTTATATCCTCATTTTAAATGTCAGCAAAGGCCCAATGGGTTAGTAGTATGCTCTTAAATAAGATTTACATCACCCCTTCCAACCTCAGATCCCATATTCTTTCCAGCACACCACACTCCCCCTGGCTTCCTTAAGGTGGGGGCTCTCTGTGGAGAAGCTCAGGGAGACTCACCCCTCGCTCCTTCCCTCACTCTGCCAGCTCCTTGGTGGCCGGGCCCGACAGGTAGCCATGCTGGGTGTGTTCCTGGTCTCCGCAGTGGCCCATGAGTATATCTTCTGCTTCGTCCTGGGGTTCTTCTACCCCGTCATGCTGATACTATTCCTTGTCGTTGGAGGTGAGCTGGCCTCCGTGCCACTGGAGGGGAGCCATCCAGAGGGAGGCCTGGGTCCTGCTCCTGGAGATCCCAGTCTGATGGTGGGAGGCCTTGCCCCCAGGACTGAAGGCGAGGCTGCTGGGCCTGAGAGGTGGAGTGCGGAGGGACTTGGAAAGCAGGGAGGGAGGCAGCATTGGGAGGAGCCACGGCATATCCTGGGGCATGCGGGAAGAGGTTTCTGGTTGGAGAACATTTGAACAGAGCACTCATGGAGGAAGACAAAGAGGAGGACACTGGCTCAGTATGAGATGCAAACAAGAATCCTGGCTTTACATGGGCCATTTGAGACCTCCACGAATTTCTGCACCTGGGTTCAAGATCTTCTCCAATGGGGCCTTCCTGTTCCATCTCTTCCCAATACCCTGGGATAGGAGGGAAGCCAGAAAGACAAGGCCCAGATATCTGGAGCTGGAGTGAAAACCTTTCCTCCTGTACCAGGAATGTTGAACTTCATGATGCACGACAAGTGCACCAGCCCGGCGTGGAACGTGCTGGTATGGACCTTGCTGTTTCTGGGCCAAGGAATCCAGGTCAGCCTGTACTGCCAGGAGTGGTATGCACGGCGGCACTGCCCCTTAACCCAGGTAAGAGACCACAACCCTCACCTAGCTCTCCACCCATGAGGACACACAGCCCAACACCCAATTCACCAGCCACGGTCAGGCACCAGGGCCTGGCTTGGGGGTGATGGACTCTCATGTCTTGGATGCACAGGGTGGGTCAACAGCAATGATCTCATTTATAACTTATTCTTCTCTGGCTCAGACAACCTTCTGGGGGCTGGTGACACCTCGATCTTGGTCCTGCCGTATCTAGAGATCAGGGCACCCTTACTGCCCAGATGACACCACCAAGTTCTCTGCCTGCAAAGCCTGGGACCGGGATTCCTCTCTGTATTCCCAAACTTGGCTCTGAATCAAGGCGACCTGCACACAAGACCCCACCAGGGAATTGCAAGGGCTGAGATCTGCAGATCTGTAGGTAGCTGAGCACAGACCTCAGCAGAGGGGTAACAGGGGCGACTCTTCAGGCCCTATCCCCATGGACTGGGTACAGCCGACCCTCCCACCCCATGACTCTCTTGAGGAGACTTGGGGGACTGTAAGGATTTGATGAATGTGAAAGAACTCAGAGAAATTGGGGCCACCAAGGTTTGAAAAGGGTTTGGTTCTTGACTTTGTATTTCTTCCAATACAGCAATAAACTTCGCCTCCCTTTTTATCCATTCATTCATTCATCATTTGTTGAAGGCTCACTTGGATTTTTGTAGAGTTGTGTCTGCAGAGGCAAGACTGTGTGGTAGGATGGGTGAGATTCCACCCCCATCTCCCAGAAACCTGACCTCAACCCCTCTTCCACCTCTTCTCCAGCTCACACTGAATTTTCCAGCCCCTTTAATCCTTCTGCTCCTGGCAATGCCTAGCACACTTTGAGAGGACAAAACGTGTCCTTCTTTCCTTTAGCAGACCCAGGAGAAGAATGTCTTGTACCGACCTGAAGCAAAGCTTTTAATTTCCTGAAGTTTCCACAGCTATTAAAGAGACATTAAAATTAGGAGTGTCCTGACTGAAGGAGACAGAAGGTCAAATTCTTCTATTCAAAACTGTTTCAGAAACCAGACTGAGGCTGGGTGCGGTGGCTCACGCTTGTAATCCCAGCAGTATGGGAGGCCAAGGGGGGCGAATCATGAGGTCAGGAGATCCAGACCATCCTGGCTAACATGGTAAAACCTCGTCTCTACTAAAAATACAAAAAATTAGCCAGGCATGGTGGCTCGAGCCTGCAATCCTAGCTATTTGGGAGGCTGAGGCAGGAGAATCGCTTGAACCCAGGAGGTGGAGGTTGCAGTGAGCTGAGATAGCACCACTGCACTCCAGCCTGGGCAACAGGGCGAGACTCTGTCTCAAAAAAAAGAAAAAGAAAAAGAAAAAGAAAAAGAAAAAGAAAAAAAAGAAACCAGACTGAGTGGTCTGCCCTCCCCACACTAATTCCTTGCCTGATCTGGTTCTGGAGAGCTATCTGTGTAAGAAAAGGGGGGAACATTAGCCTTGGGGGACTGAGAGCCGAAAAACCCAGGGTTCTAAGAAAGAGAGATGGGGTATTTCTTTTCTTTTTTTTTTTTTTTTNGACAGTATATATAAGACGTCTTTTTATGTCAATAAATATAGATCTATTTTGTCATTTTTATTTATTTTCATTTTTTTTACTTAAATTAAATTAAAATAAATAGTGATGGGGTGTTGCTATGTTGACCAGACTGGTCTCAAACTCCTGGTGCCAAGCAGTCCTCCCATCTCGGCCTCTCAAAGTGCTGGGATTACAGTTGTCAGCCACTGCACCTGCCTTGTCATTTTTAATAGTATCACATTGTGCGTGTGTGTGTGTGTGTATATACTATAATTTAATTACATATATTTCAATTGTTTCCAATATTTTGCTCTTATAAACAACTCAGGGTACCTTCACTGACGAGAAGGACATCCTAATGTATATATACATCTTTGTGCACTTTCCTAAGAGAATTTTCTAGATACAGAATTACTGGGACATTAGATGGGCTTACTTCAAATGTACACAGTGCCAAACTTCCCTCTTACATGAATTTATATTATATGATATTGCCCATTTCCCCACCTCCCTGCCAATGCTGGGTTTTGTCTAATTTTTAATTTTTGGCGATCTGATAAGCAGAAAATTATATCTATTGTTTTTATTTTGCATTGCATTCTTATCATTACTTTAAAAAGTTAAATATATTTTCCTGTGTGCATTTACCATTTTAATTTAATATTTTATTATTTTTAAAAGGTTCATTTATTTATATCTATCTATTTATTTATCTGTTTAAGACAGAGTCTTGCTCTGTCACCCAGGCTAAACTACAGTAGTGCAATTTTGACTCACTGCAGCCTCTACCTCCTGGACTCAAACAATCCTCCTACCTCAGCCTCCCAACTAGCTGGGACTACAGGCAAGTGGCCCACACCTGGCTAATTTTATATCTATCTATCTAGCTAGCTAGCTAGCCAGCTATCTGGCTATTTATTTTTGAGACAAAGCCTCACTCTGTTACCCAGGCTGTAGTGTAGTAGCATGGTCTCGGCTCACTGCAACCTCTGCCTCCCAGGTTCTCCTGCCTCAGCCCCCCATGTAGCTGGGTGTTCAGGCACCCGCCACCATGCCCAGCTAATTTTTGTATTTTTAATAGAGGTGGGACTTCACCATGTTCGCCAGGCTGGTCTCAAATTCCTGACCTCAAGTGATTGGCCCACCTTGGCCTCCCAAAGTGCTGGGATTACAGGCATGAGCCACGGCTCCCGGCCTTGTCACATATCTTTATTTGCTGGTTTGTATCAGGATCCAAATAAACTCTATCCCTTGGAAGTGGTTTCATTTCTTTTCATCTATGGATTCCTATCCCATCTCCTATTTTAACTTTTTTTTAATATACGATAAAACGTAAAGGTCTTAACTGTTTAAGCCAATTAGGTTCATATATACCCACGTAATCATCTCATCAAAACACGACAGAACGCTGGGCGCGGTGGCTCACGCCTGTAATCCCAGCACTTTGGGAGGCCGAGGCAGGTGGATCACGAGGTCAAGAGATCGAGACCA